TCAACTTTCAATGTGAGATGGACAGAAGAACAGCCCTTCAAAATTCCTCATATCAGAAATTTGCAATACAATGTCTCGATGGTTGAAAAATCCTAATTGCTCAATAAAAATCTGAATACTACCCTATAATGCTATAAGGTACTTATCTATGCTACAAGTGTGTCTTCCCTCCCTCCTCCTCCCCCCATCTCGTAACCCTCCCCCATCTACAACTTATTGGTTCTTAAAAGGTTCACAGGATACCGAGCATACTTCTCATGTAAGCATAAATTAAGACTTACGATTTCTCCAGCCAGATGGTGGGGGAACCTCCACTCTTATCTGTTTCCTGTATTACTGCTCTCTAATGTGCACCACTCAAAGCTGTTGTTTGTATATTCCCTTGTTATGTTAATAATCTTTCAATAAAAATCATTTAAATATAAAAACTAAGAATCTAAGATTCTGAAAAAGTACATATGAGAGTTTTCATGACCTTAGGTTTCTTGGTTTTTATATTTATTCCTTGATTTTTTAAAATAAAGAAAAAAAAAAAAGAAGCCACCATTGTCCATGTTTTGAAGAGCAGAGACAACAGGCAACTGGAAATAAAAACATCAGTATTTGAGTGCATTATTTAGCTCAGACACGCTTATAAATTCTGCATATAAACAGGCACAACTTATGTAGAAGGATTTGTTTTATCTTTGTGTATCACCTGAGGCTAGTAATTTTACTGTGTATATATAATGGTTTACTACACTTCTCTGCAATAAGGTGAAAAAAAATACAATGGTAGCTTCTATGCAGCTCCCTAAATACTTACCTGAGCTTAATTTCCATCCAGCACTGTGCACATCTTCAGCAGTCCTTCTCTCCTCTCCCCTGTCCCACAGGCTTGACTGACAGCAGTGGGAACCATTGGCTTCTGCTTGCTGTCAGTCAAAAGGGTAAGGGGGTGGCTGTGTGTCTACATAGTTGCAAAACAGCCACGCTTGGCATTGAGCAAAATGAGGGTCCCCATAGGAAAGCATCTTTCTATGGGAACACTCAGGATGGGGGAAAAAAGCCCAGGAGTGTGCTGGTGGAGGACCCCAGAATTGGAGTAATCAGGGGCCCAATTTGTGCAAAATGTTAATGTTTTAATGTAAAAAAAATGTAAAAGTAAAAGAAAAATTAAAGTTTACAATTCCTTAATTATTATTGGGACCAGCTTTACCAGCTTTTGCTTTTTGGCGCTCAGTGAAATAAGCCAAAATGAATAAACATCCTTGCTAAGACTCAAACCCATAACCAGTCAAAAAAACTCATTGGTTCCTTATTCAGGAAAACTGTGAATGAGAAAAATTGGAGAATTAGGGATTGCAGGCCATGAGTAGGCTGAAACAGCCACCAGAACCCAACCCAGCGGCAAACCTGAACCACCTCCCTATTCATTTTGTAGAGACAATAGAAACAGCAAGGATTTCATCTCTAGGCTCTGAAAAACAGTGATCAACACACATTACACTATGGGTGCAAAATCTGGTGTAGCTGTGCATGATAGCCAATCAGCTTCTAGCTTCTGCTTATTCAGTTAGGCTTTGGCAAAAAAGCTGATTGGTTTTCTATGAAAGCTGCACCAGATTTTGCTCTCTCTCCAGTTTTTATATAAATAAATTCCATAGTATATCCCCCCACAGATCAAATTTATCAAATCAGAGGAAACTAGTACAAGCATGCCCAAAAGTGGTATCCTCAAAATGACTTTTGGCAGGCACATGTTGAAAGGACGTAGAATGTATTCATCTATGGCTTCATTTTATGAATAAATAGTAACCATTCCCTAAACATTTTTCCCTGATAAAAATAGTAGGAATGATGACTGTGGCATGGTGAAAAGTTTTGTATTGAAAAATAAATATCAGTTTTTTTGACATAAACACAAATATTTGGAGCTACAAAGGAATGCACTAATAGCAAGGTGCTCGTCTTACTGTCCTAAAACACTCAATACAGTTCTGTCAGTTAGCTGATCGTTCTTTCTAATGGGTATATACATTTTCCTAAACTTCAGAAAATCTGATGATCAGGGATCTAAAAACCCAATCTCACAACAGAGGCTCCATTACGACTGCAATAATACCAGTCACCTTTGATATGGATATAAAGGAGTCCTGACAATGCTTGTCAAAGGCAATAAACACTAACATTTCACAAAAAAACAAAAAAAAAACCACGACGACAATTGAGATTTGTATTCTCTCCACTTAAACTTAAAAAAATTATTACTTCTCTTTCATACCTCGACAGCGTCTCTTTTAAAAGTCAAGTAAATGGAGCTATAGGCAGGATGGGGGATTTTCAAATTTCCAAAATTATTGTAAATGCTACCCACCTGGCGAGAATTATTGATTGGAATTGCCACTTTTGAAATAAAGATATCAAGAAAAAAGAAAGAGGGGATAACAAAGAAAAAGAAAAAAGAGGAGAATAAACTCCTCACTGGTGAAAACAAAGAGTAAATGGGACTTTAAAGGTGCCATAAAAATTAAGAAAAACTAAAACTAAAAATTATAATGTTTATTACAATCATTTGAATAATCTCATATAAAAGAAATACAATTTAAGTATCCCAAACTTGATGATGATATTTTAGTCAGTGTTACATATTCGGTGCAATAATTTTCAACATGTTTTGCCTGATTAAGGCTTCTCCAGGAGAATTTGTATGTAAGCACCAGCTGGTTCAATAGGGACACTTGGATATGCAAAACACTTGGTTTGATAGAGAAGCCCATATACAGGTGAAACTCAAAAAATTAGAATATCGTGCAAAAGTTCATTTATTTCAGTAATGCAACTTAAAAGGTGAAACTAATATATGAAATAGACTCATTACATGCAAAGCAAGATAGTTCAAGCCGTGATTTGTCATAATTGTGATGATTATGGCTTACAGCTCATGAAAACCCCAAATCCACAATCTCAGAAAATTAGAATATTGTGAAAAGGTGCAATATTCTAGGCTCAAAGTGTCCCACTCAATCAACTAATTAAGCCATAACACCTGCAAAGGGTTCCTGAGCCTTTAAAATGGTCTCTCAAGTCTGGTTGTCAGGAATGGACTGGCCAGCAATAGTGGGGACTCAGCTGCCTTATGAGCTGCAGTACCAGGGCTGGCCAGCGGGTGTCTCCCAGCAATCAGAGACTCAACCTTGCAGCCAGTTCAAACACCTGGAACTAATTATACTGGTGTATTTAAGGGACATTCAGACCTGCAGACTCTGCCTTGGTGTTATGTTTCTCTTTGGCCCTGTATCCTGTTCCTGCTTTCGTCTCTGTTCCTGTCTGATTCTCTGCTGACCCTGCTCTGATCCCTGGGCTTGTCTGACCATTCTCCTCTGCCTGACCCTCTGTACCACGCTGCTCTGCTACCTGCTGAACCTGGCCTGTGACCCCGACCATTCTCCGCTTACTCCCCCTGTTACCTACCTGCCCGACTGATATTGACCCGGCCTGCCTGACGACGCTTGCATTGTATGTACTGTTATCTGTGGGTGGTTGGTTGGTTTGTTTGCACTGTGTTATGTTTTAGTATTGCACTGCGTTTATGTTTGTATGGTTAGTGTTAATAAATTATTCAGTGTTTATAACATATCTGAAGTCTGCGTTTCCCTGCGTCAGTCACACACACCTCTGGTCATACCCGGGAGCCCTGACATTACACCAAGGCCAATCCTGACCAGAAGTGGCTGCACAGGGAAAGCCATCTTGGTTTGTTGATGGGAAAAGATGGATCTTGATGAGGTTGTGTATTTATATCTGCTAGTGTTTGATGACAGGGAGTATGCTTATCAAACTCTGAAGGAGTATACCCGGGATGAACTGCTAGAATGTATACGGCTCGCTCATGTTCTAGTAGATCAGGGCACAGAATTCTCTGAGGTGCAGCCTGATTGAGGTTTTTGTGCTGAGTTGGTTTCATCTGGTACCTTCCGAATGCAGGGATGAATTTTTGCCACCATTTAGTGCAGACCAGGTAGAGTCCCTGGTAATGGTTATTAGAGGATGATGTGGGTTTTACTTTCTGGAGCGTTATTCCACATGTTCACCACAGGTATTAAGGGATTGTATAAACGCAGTGCAGTCTTTGGTCAGACAGGCTTTGTGTAAGCTCAGCTTTGTTCAACCCGTACTGCAGACATGGACAGATTTGTTACACCCAGCTCAGTTCAGCTTACAAAGACCCAGTCTGCTTCTAATCTATCTCCTCAAAGCTCTACTCCTGTGTTCCCAAAAGCTCCTCCAGTTACAGCCCAGTATACTGGCTATCTACCGCATGTCAGTAACCCCCCCCCCACCGTCCCACTCGCTGCACCTATCCTGCCTTTAACCCTGTAAAGAAGCTCTCTGTAGCGACTGTTCCTTCCCCTGTTCCATCCTCCAGCTCTTCTCTGTCTCCAGCTGCTCCATTCATTTGCAGACCTGCGTTTACTTTGCAGTGCTCCAGTAGTTAAAAACCAGAAAAAAGTGAAAATTCTTTCCCACCAGTACCATCCTGCCAGTATCCAAACCGGTGTGAACCTGCCTTCCGTGGTTCAGCCTGAAGCCTCTACTCAAGCCAGCCTGAATCCTCTACTCAGCCTGATGCCTGTACGCAGCTGATGCCTTGTACGCAGCCTGATGCCTCTACTCGGCCTGATGCCTGTACGCAGCCTGATGCCTCTCTTCAGCCTGAAGCCTCTACTCGGCCTCTGAAGCCTCTATTCGGCCTGATTCCTCTATTCGGCATTCATCCTAGATGTCTCTACTCGGCCTGAAGCGCCTCTATTCGGCCTGTGATGCCTCTATTCGGCCTGATGCCTCTACTCGGCCTGAAGCCTCTACTCGGCCTAGAAGCCTCTATTCAGCCTGAAGCCTCTACTCAGCCTGAAGCCATTCTACTCAGCCTGAAGCCTCTACTCAGCCGGACGCCGGCATTCAGCCTGATGCCTCTACCCAGCGTGATGAACTGATCCAGCCTGACGATCCTATTAGGCCAGTTGACTCGATGCCCGCTGTTGATCCAGATGATCCGGTACCTGATCCGGTGCCCGCTGTCGTGAGCCAATTGACTCAGAGCCCGCTGTCGTATGGGAAGATACCTGGTGACCTGGTGCCACTGCCTTGCCAGGTGATGACGCGGTGCCCTGACCTGACAAGCCAAATGACCTGATGCCTGGTGACCCAGTGCCCCGCTGTCATTCTAACCTGGTGACCCGATGCCGCTGTCGAGCCAGACGATCCAATGCCTGGTGACCGTGCCGCAGGTGCCCACTGCCTTGCCAGATGAACGCGGTTTGCCCGCTGGCAAGCCCCAAATGACCTGATGCCTGGTGACCCCAGTGCCCGCTGTCATACCTGGTGACCCCGATGCCCGCTGTCGAGCCAGACAATCCGGTACCTGATGACCCGGTGGTGCCCACTGTCGTGCCTGTTGACTCGGAGCCACTGCCTTGCCAGATGACGCGGTGCCCGCGTGTCGAGCCAAAATGACCTGATGCCTGGTGAACCCGATGCCCGCTGTCCAGCCAGACGATTCAATGTCTGACCCAGTGCCCGCGGTCATACCAGTTGACTCGGAGCCCACTGCCTTGCCAGATGACGCGGTTGCCCGCTGTCGAGCCAAATGACCTGATGCCTGGTGACCCGTTATGTCCGCTGTCCAGCCAGACGATCCAATGTCTGACCCAGTGCCAGCGGTCATGCCAGTTGAGTCGGAGCCCACTGTCGTGCCTGGTGACTCGGTGCCCGCCGCTTTGCCTGGGGCCGGATGACCTGTGTCGCTCCGCCTGGGGGTCCGGCGCCCCGCGCTCCGCCTGGGGGTTCCAGCGCCCGCCGCCCCCGCCTGGGGGCCCGAGACCTGTCGCTCCGCCTGGGGGGTCCGGCGCCCGCCGCTCCGCCTGAGGGCCCGAACCTGTTGCTCCGCCTGGGGGCCCGAGACCTGTCGCTCGCTGGGGGCCCCGGCGCCCGCCGCTCGGAGGGCCCGAGACGCCTGGTTCCACTGGGGGTCCCGCCGCTCCGAAAGACCTGTCGATTACCCGCCTGGGGCCGAGACCCCGTCGCTCCACCTGGGGGCCCGAGACCTGTCGCTCCCACCGGCGCCCGCCAATCCGCCTGAGGGCCCGAGACCTGTCGCTCCGCCTGGGGGTCCAGCGCCCGCCGCTCCGCCTGAGGGCCCGAGACCTGTCGCTCCGCCTGGGGGTCCGGCGCCCGCCGCTCCGCCTGAGGGCCCGAGACCTGTCGCTCCGCCTGGGTCCGGCGCCTGCCGCTCCGCCTGGGGGCCCGTATGCCTGTCGCCCTTCCTGGGGGCCCGGCACCCGCCGCTCCGCCTGGGGGCCCGATGCCTGTCGCCCCGCCTGGGGCCCGAAGCCTGTCGCCCCTCCCTGGGGGCCCGGCGCCCGCCGCTCACCTAGGGGCCTGATGCCGGTCGCCCCGCCTAGGGACCCCGATGCCTGTTGCCCCGCCCGGGGGCCCGATGCCTGTTGCCCCGCCCCACGCTCCACCTAGGGGGCCCGCTGCCTGCTGCTCCGCCCGGGGGCCCGGTGCCTGCTGCTCCTGCCCCCGGGGGCCCGCTGCCTGACTGCTTCGCCTGGTAATCCGATGTGCCTCTGCCCGGAGTCCTGCCCGATGTGCCTCTGCCCGGAGTCCTAGCCAGTGTGCCTCTGCCCCCCGGTGTGCCTCTGCCCGATGTGCCTCTGCCCGGAGTCCAGCCCGATGTGCCTCTGCCCGGAGTCCAGCCCGATGTGCCTCTGCCCGGAGTCCAGCCCAATGTGCCTCTGCCCGGAGTCCAGCCCGATGTGCCTCTGCCCGGAGTCCAGCCCCGATGTGCCTCTGCCCGGTGTGCCGCTGCCCGGAGTCCAGCCCGGTGTGCCAGTCTTTGATATCCCGCCAGTTACTGTCAGGAATGGACTGGCCAGCAATAGTGGGACTCAGCTGCCTTATGAGCTGCAGTACCAGGGCTGGCCAGCGGGTGCTCCCAGCAATCAGAGACTCAACCTTGCAGCCAGTCAAAACACCTGGAACTAATTAATACTGGTGTATTTAAGGGACATTCAGACCTGCAGACTCTGCCTTGGTGTTGTGTTTCTCTTGGGCCTGTATCCTGTTCCTGCTCTCTGTTCCTGTCTGATTCTCTGCTGACCCTGCTCTGATCCCTGGCTTGTCTGACCATTCTCCTCTGCCTGACCCTCTGTACCACGCTGCCCACTACCTGCTGAACCTGGCCTGTGACCCCGACCATTCTCCGCTTGCTCCCCCTGTACCTACCTGCCCGACTGATATTGACCCGGCCTGCCTGACGACGCTTGCATTGTATGTACTGTTATCTGTGGGTGGTTGGTTGGTTTGTTTGCACTGTGTTATGTTTTAGTATTGCACTGCGTTTATGTTTGTATGGTTAGTGTTAATAAATTACATTGTTTATAACATATCTGAAGTCTGCGTTTCCCTGCGTCAGTCACACACCTCTGGTCACACCCGGGAGCCCTGACACTGGTTCAGTAGGAATCACAATCATGGGAAAGACTGCTGACCTGACAGTTGTGCAGAAAACCATCACTGAAACCCTCCATAAGGAGGGAAAGCCTCAAAAGGTAATTGCAAAAGAAGTTGGATGTTCCCAAAGTGCTGTATCAAAGCACATTAATAGAAAGTTATGTGGAAGGGAAAAGTGTGGAAGAAAAAGGTGCACAAGCAGCAGGGATGACCACAGCCTGGAGAGGATTGTCAGGAAAAGGCCATTCAAAAGTGTTGGGGACTTTCACAAGGAGTGGACTGAGGCTGGAGTCAGTGCATTAAGAGCCACCACACACAGACGGATCCTGGACATAGGCTTCAAATGTTGTATTCCTCTTGTCAAGCCGCTCCTGAACAACAAACAACGTCAGAAGCGTCTTACCTGGGCTAAAGAAAAACAGACCTGGTCTGTTGCTCAGTGGTCCAAAGTCCTCTTTTCTGATGAAAGCAACTTTTGCATCTCATTTGGAAACCAAGGACCCAGAGTATGGAGGAAGAATGGAGAGGCACACACTGCAAGATGCTTGAAGTCCAGTGTGAAGTTTCCACAGTCTGTGTTGATTTGGGGAGCCATGTCATCTGCTGGTGTTGGCCCACTGTGCTTCATTAAGTCCAGGGTCAACGCAGCCATCTACCAGGAGATTTTGGAGCACTTAATGCTTCCTTCTGCAGAGGAGCTTTATGGGGATGCTGACTTCATTTTCCATCAGGATTTGACACCTGCCCACACTGCCAAAAGCACCAAAACCTGGTTCAATGACCGTGGGATTACTGTGCTTGATTGGCCAGCAAACTCTCCTGATCTGAACCCCATAAAGAATCTATGGGGCATTGCCAAGAGAAAGATGAGAGGCATGAGACCGAACAATGCAGAAGAGCTGAAGGCCGCTATTGAAGCATCCTGGTCTTCCATAACACCTCAGCAGTGCCATAGGCTGATAGCTTCCATGCCACGCCGCATTGAGGCAGTAATTGCTGCAAAAGGGGTCCAAACCAAGTACTGAGTACATATGCATGCTTATACTTTTCAGAGGTCCAATATTGTTCTATGTACAATCCTTGTTTTATTGATTGCATGTAATATTCTAATTTTCTGAGATTGTGGATTTGGGATTTTCATGAGCTGTAAGCCATAATCATCACAATTATGACAAATCATGGCTTGAACTATCTTGCTTTGCATGTTATGAGTCTATCTCATATACTAGTTTCACTTTTTAAGTTGCATTACTGAAATAAATGAACTTTTGCACGATATTCAAATTTTTCGAGTTTCACCTGTAGGCTCTCACTTTTAGAGATGGAAGTATATTAAACAAATAGCTGCTCAGTGGGCACTAATTATCACCACCACATTGGTAGCATTGCATCAAACAAAGAGCCAAAAAATATTGGTCCAAATGGAAAACTCAATTGTTCACTTAGAAATATGAAAGGGGAAGGTGGCAGCAATCAACCATGGCCCCATAAGAGGCCAATCCTCAAAGGGAGAGAAAGGCAGAGCATGCACCAATGCCACAACACAAAATGCCCTATTGACCTTAAACAACACCCACTGATAAATGCTAGTGATGGTCTGAAAACCCCCACTTGGGCACTGTCCTTATGCACATGAATCAGAGTTTTTTTTTTTTTTTTAAAGTACCGTTTTTAAAGGGGTAGTAATTTTTCATAGCTTAAATATTATGCCTGGGGGTCCCCTTAAACTATCTGCAAAGTTGCATATTTGTACAGTGTATAGAGCCTGTTGCAGCAGGACTGACATTTTTTTTTAATAAAATTTATATTATAAACAAATCCAAAAAAACAGTGTGGGGTCCCCCTAATGTATACCAGATTCTTTAGGTCTGGTAGGAAAGTTATATGGGACCCCAGACTAATTTTTTTTTTAAGTGTCTGGGGTTCCCCTAAAAGCCTTACCAGACCCTTTAGGTCTGGTAGGACTTTTAAGGGGAACCCCACCTCCAAAAATGGGGGGTGGAGTTCATGGGGTTCCCCCTAGAAGCCATATCAGGCCCTTGATCTGAGCACAGGCTTTGCAGGCCAGGAAAGGGGGGGGACAAATGAGTGCCTCCCCCTCCCTGGCCCTTACCAGGCCACGTACTATCAGTTTTGGGATGGTGTCCCCATGCCAATGAGGATAATGGCCTCTTCCCCACAACCCTGGCCCGGAGGTTTTGGGGGTCTGCGGGCAGGGGAGTCATTAGCATCAGGGTACCCCTTTAAATAAGGGGTCACCCTGATGCTGCCCCCCTCTGTGAATGAGTAAGTGGCACATGTACACCTACCCATTCACTTAAGGGTTAAAAGTGTGAAAAAATAAAGATACCAGACTTTTGAAAAAATCCTTTATTGAACAAAAAGCAAAGAAACTTTTTCGACAAGTCCATTATTAACGTCCCTGGCAGTATTCCCGAGAGAAGCTCGGGGTAAAGTTTCAGCAGCACAGGCGGTAACCCCGAGCTACACTCGGGAATACCCTGCAGCGCTGCTCCGTGATCTCTTCTTCACTTACCTTGTCCTGTGCTCCCACGATGTCCCCCCTGCAGTGTCCCCGGCAATGTCCTCTGGCAGATGCTGGAATCTGTCTTCTGTGTTCCGTTCCCTGCAATGTCGGGACGTACGGGGGACGGAACTGGTGAGAAATTTGAAAGTTGTAAAAGTGACATTCACTAAATTCACTAAAATCACATTGTAAAACATTACTGTATCAAAGCATTTCACATACATTTTGTTCCTAGTGCTTTGTCCTGTGCCCTGCCTGCATTTTTACTGTTCTTTCTGCCTGGAAACTGAGAAATGTCCATGGCGTCCAAAAAGCGTCCCTTTAGGTCACAAGCGGTTTTAGACAGCTAGAGAACAGCGATAGTAAATTAGAACTACTTGTAGAATTCAGTGATAATGATTTGTGGGGAAATTTGTCATCAGACACTGAAAACTATTTTTTTTGCGTCTTTGCTCAGTGATGTGCAAACTTGGTGCTATATTTCAAATTTCAGTGCTTTTGTTTTGATATTATTTAATTAAATTTATTATATTATAATTTTTTTATGATTATTTTATTAAATTATAATTTATGATTTCGTGTTTCAAATTGTAACATACCCGGGATGTTTACTAGATTCTTGTGCGGAAAGATTTCAGTGAGTTATTCCTAAAAATTACAGGCCTACAATAAAAAAATACATATTTCCATGCAAAAAAATGTACCGCTTTGAGCACAGAAATATGGATATAATCAGACCGCTAGGGAGGCTACAAAAAAAAGCACAAAAAAAAATGTTTCCAGCATTGTAATCCATCGTCAGTCATGGCATCCAGCATTGTCATGACGATGCCAACTTATTGAAATAAAAAAAAACGCCCCACTGACCCATCCACACCCGCCAAGCGCTAGCTGCTGACATTTGAAAATCAGAAGCATACAATTGGGCGGAGCTAGCGGTGATGTCACCACTAGCTCCACCCAATTGTCATGAGATATGAATGGCCAAAGTCACTGAGACTTTATCCAATTTTGGCTCTTATTGTGAACTCAGCTGTGGTCATGTTTGAATGCTTTGGCCAATCACAATCGATGCCAGAGTGCATTGCATTGTGGGGCATACGGGCGCACTGCCCACCGAACACCCTAGATGTTCATGTTCAGCGAACACAAGAACATCCAATGTTTGAGTCAAACATATGTTCAACTCGAACATATAGACCATCCCTAATAAACACTACTCTATCCATCTTTCACAAGATCAACCAATCCTATACAATTTCTTGTCTCTGAGCCCCTTAACACTGCTCACTAGTAATCCAGATTTTCCCCAGAGACTATATTCTACAACCTTTCCAATGAAGGAAACGCGTACCCCCTTATTGGTGACTCACTGTGTTGCTAAAAAAAACGGTTATTACCATAAGCTAGATTTTTGGTGACCTTACTCCATCTACCACAACGCCATGGTCATATAGACAACTTTGCCACTTTATCTCCTCCCACGCAAAGACAACTGACTTTTATCGCCCCCTTACAGCTTTTGAAT